CATGGCGTAATGCACATGTGTCAAACTCAAGGCCCGCCGGCCACATGTGGCCCCCCCAGCATTTTATAGGCCGATGATTGACTTAAAATAGGTTTTGAGCACGAATTGACTACAAACTACATTTCAACCAAAGGTTTGTAATGCGCTTCCTAACCAGACGCTCCAAAGCGTCCGGTCCATAACTCTTCAACACGCTGTCAGCTCCCGGTCAGAAAGATGCATTTAGTTCAGAGACCATGAGATGATATTCAGAAAGGATTTTTTTAATTAATTGATTTCAGTTGCCTCTGAGACTAAATCTTTGCGTAAAGTCTATAATGTCTGCTCATGTGACTTGTTTTTATCATTTGTTTTCTTACCTTTAAACACTGATTTAAATATTGTAATTTTTAAATAATTTTACATCAATGGAAACTCAAATGTAATATTTAAAACTTCAATACATAAAATCACTTATTTAATATTATGAGGTGGTTAATTTATTTTTAACATTTTATTTTTATACATTTATGCTAGGGGTGCCCAAATAGTTTTCCAGAGCTACCATCTGCAGCTTTACATGCATTCCTTCTCTAACACACCTGGACCATTGACTCATTATAAGCCTCTGAATGAGGGAAGTCAACCTTTTTTCTGGGGTGTGTTTTAGCAGGGATGCGCTCCTGATTTGTACCGTCAATGTGGCCCGTTGAGGGTGGCCAATATACTGAAGTGGCCCTCAGTGAAATTGAGTTTGACACCCCTGCTTTAACAGGGAACATGTTCCAGTGCAGCCACCCACAGCTACTGAGAAAAAGACTTGCCAAGTTGTACATGTCAACTTTGAAGGTAATAAGGATGAATGAACCGAAGCCTTTAATGAGTGAGCAGCCATGCCAACCCCCCAGACTCACTGCAGACTCGTATCATGCTCTATAAATGCACAACTCTGGCAGGAAATGAGTAAACAAACACTTTAATCGAATAAACTCAAGCAGAAAATTATGCCAAAATGTGCTGAACATTCATAAAGTCAATGGCACCAACCTTCACTTTAGTAATCTTTCTCTGGTGCGACATATGTCTGCATGTTTTATTAGTTTGTTAATTCAGTCATGTTTTATTCAGATCAGTATATTTATTTGTTTTTGAGGTGACCAAGTAAATACTTTCCTGCCTAACTTTCAAATAAATCCCTTTGCATTTATCATATCTGGACCAATCCTTGTATAATTAGGCATTAAATAGTTTTCTTCATCATGGATCAAAAGTTTTTCACCAGTAGAAAAATCCCTGGTGGTGATTGTTTTTAAAAAGAGAAAAGGCTGGTCACATTAGACTTGTAAAAACTCCTGTTTCACATAATCATATTCCTTGACAAAAAATGATGAGCTCTACAGAAGTACAAAATCTCATTTGGTCAGACTGAAATTTCAAAGCTACATTTCAAGAAGCTTTATGTTGGTCTCAGTCTTTTTTTCTTTAGCATGAAGGATTTTTTCTCACTCACAAGAAGCTGTTTCATACTGTAGAAATTAGCTAAAGGTTGCTGGTTGCTGGGTTGGAGCTGCTGCTAAGTGCCAGATGCTATTTTAAAAAATCTATTTCTTATATTTCTGCTCATGTGCACCTTAAAAAAAATGCCCCCCCCAAAAAAATCTTCAACACCAACTACTTCTTCTTCATCAACTCCGGTCGTTCTTTCAGTTCTCTAAAGTGACACTAAATTGTAATCATAGTAAACAAATGATTATACAGTATAATAATTAAAATCAACATAAGACTGTTCTTGTACTTTCTGAAGACCTCTGTGGTGCATGTGTGGGTGTTGTAAAAAAATGCAGCACAAGTATTTGTGTTTCTAATTTGATCCAGTCATGGCAACAGTGAAGGCTTGTAAGAGAGTGATGTGGTGATAATCGGAAAATGCCTTGAAAAAGCATCGATCTATTTTCAACTGCTGTCATGTTACAAATGCAAACCTCAATATATTTTATTGGGATTTTACATGACAGGCCAACAAAGAAGTGCATGACAGTGAAGTGGAAGAATAAATCATACATGGTTTTCAAAATCAATACTTCATAAAAGCTCTAAATACTTTTCACTGAAATTACAGCTTCAGTTTGTTAGGGATCTGCGCTGGACTGAAAAATCTCTTATTTTTCTTTGCAAAAAAGCATTATCTCACACAAAGTGAATGAGGCTGAGATCTTTAGAGAACATTCAACATAGTTTTAAAATGATTCAAAACTTCCTTCTTGACCTGTTTTGTGTTCATTGTTCTTCACAAGGCTATTTTTTTATTTTACTGTAACAAATTACTGCAGCCTTCAACAAGCAGCTGTATTTATGGTTTGTAGAGCTGGAAGTAACCAGTAACTGAGGCAGTTAAAGCCAAGGGACTGAAGAAGTTATGCAAACTAACCTTTACAAATATTTTCTTTATACTTTGCCTTTGAAAATCTTGTTTAATTTTTCCTCCACTTCAGTGATTCAATTTAGTTATTTCCGTCACCTAAGACACAAAGAAATACATTTAAAAATGTCAATTATAAAGGATTTTGTTAGATACTTAACATTTCCTCAGGCTCTGATAAACTTTCTAAAATTAAATACAAGCTGTCAGCTTTAAATGTGTATATGTAACATAAAAGTTGGCAACATTGATATAAGATTTGATGTTAATGACATTGTTTCTCCTTGTCTAGATTTTTCAACTGAGACATATACACTATTTATGCATCCAAACAGCCGTTTAAATAAAAATACTTTCTATTCCTGGGTTTCCTGGCTTATCAGGTATAATATGAATTTACAAGATCATCAATAATTCAAAGGCAGTATCCTGTATACCTTGAATATATTGCTAAACCTGCTCTAATGAACAGGTTTGGGGATTTTCAAGGTAATTCTCAAATCTGTACATTATTTTATTGTATATCAAGAACTAAAGTTAATGTTGATGCCAAATCTCAAGAAATTAATCAGGTTGAAAATGTTTTTTTTTTTTTTTTTCCATTAACTATTACTATTATTATTAGAAGTAGTAAATAACTTAGAGATCAAAAATCTCTTAAGAAGGAGTGCCCTGAATATTTTACAAACATACTACTTTTTATTTAACAAATTAGAGCTCCTAAGCTAAAGACAGGTCTACCAATACTTTATGTGTTCCATGTCAGTACCCAGAGTCCGGCAAGACATATGTCCAGGCCTCCATCAGCTGCCCAAACGTTTGTTCACTCAGCATGAAGAGCAGTCCTGCAGTCAAAAAGCCGGATGTCAAGTGCAAGCTGGCCTGCAGGAGGCACAGAAGGTCAGAGGATTATGATCGAGCAAAAGGCCACCAACAGGACATACATGTATGCCACACAACATGACATAAATGAGGAAACGGGCAGAAAAAAGATGATGGGTATGAGAACAAATTTAAAATACAAAAGGCTGTAACAGATCACAAACGGAGTTTGAAAGGTTTTGCTTCCTTGACCAATCCTTCCTTGGTTAAGGAAGGATTGAGAAAAGAAGAAAATCATTTAGAGTGGATGGATCTTCTTATGAGAAACTGAGTAGCAATTGTAGTTTTTGCAGATTAAAATACTTGTATGACATAAATAAAGGGGGCTAGGGATTGATAGTTTGAATGCTGTAACCTGCATTATTATTTAATTATGTTTTATGAATAATTCCAAAATTATTTTTATTTAGATCATCTTTTTCATTTATGTTGCCATTGGATTCAGTTGTTAAACTAAGCAGCATTTCCATATTTCAGGATGATGGTAACTGGTTGTGTTTTTATTTGTTGTGTTGTTTTCCTATCTCTCTGACTCTTTCCCCCAAAAGGAGGTAACGCCTCATAAATTGTTGATAAGGAAAACTCTTTGCAGGAACATTTTTAGTCAGACTTTAAGGTAAAAGTTTCCCTGTGTTGAGTGATGCTGTTACCCTCCAAAAAGCAAGAGCAACCATAACCTGGGGAGTCCACAGAAGGTCTGCAGGCAGATCCAAACTCAAGGCACTGAAGTGGTAAGAATATTTATAGATCAGGTAAAAACAAGATAGAGTCTTTTGAAATGGATAGGAGCACAGTCTTATAAAGGTACATCTCTAAAATCACTGGGTGCATTAATGGCTAGAGGAGTACCGCATGTGGTGAAAATCTTCCAGCTGAATCTTTTAATTGTGAGCTTGGAGGTCTTTACATATTTTATGTGGGGAAAAAGAGGGAAAAAATGACAATGTGCAATAAGTCAGTTTGAATCCTTATATTTCTTGATTCTGAACTGTTCATTCAATATAAAATGATGTTCCAACATGTAGCACAAATGTAGAACACTGCCCTGAAACAAAAACGCTGTGCAAAATGTCCAAACTCATAACTCATGTATTTGTATCCAGAGGTGAGAAAAGTGTGGAGCTGACTTTGCAGTGTGCTAATTTTAGATACTTAATTCCTCTTTATCGAGCGTTATTGATTAACGTCTCCCATCTTTATTCTTTGATTTGAATCTGCTGACTTATTACCTTCCCAGAGTCAAATTTACTGTTCTGGGAACTCAGTTACTTCTTTTTTCACATTTAGTTATCTCTCCATCTGCCTCAAGTAATCTTACAAGATTTTATATGTTGTTCTCTGTTCACACATGCATGCCAGATGTAAGCAGATTAGCTTGTTAAAATGACAAAATTATGCAATGGTTGTTTCACAGTGACTGCAATACATCAATGCATGGACATGATTCAAACTAGAGACACATGTCTAGTTTTGTCACTGCATACCAGGTAAAGATATAAGCATGTAGTCTCAGACAGGAATACAGAAAGGGCAGATACAAGTGAAGCAAAATAACAGCAATGCAGATAATTCCCTAGATCAATTCCACACTCTCATCCCATCAGTCATAGTAATTATACACGCCAACGTGAGAGATTGACTGTCATGAAGGCAGAGAGAATGTTGAAAAAAATACATCTCCTGGATCCTTGTAATTACAAACTGCACTCGTCATCTTGGCAGGTATGCAAACTCCCCATTGTTACATCTGTTCCTCAAAAGTGAAGAGGTGATTGCTTCTTATCTCACAAAAGTATTTCAGCCTATAATTGGGGAAATAGGGGAGGCAATTTTCAGTTCTACAAAGATAAATCTGCTATTTCTCTGACTTGCATAAAGAAACTGTGCTTCACTGCTATGGGGGTGAAATGTTATTTGTGAGCAATAGCTTAAAATGAATTGATCATTAATTTTTTACAATTTTAAGTTTACTGAACTATATCTGTAAAAAGACTGTTACACAACAGTTTGATTTATATTCCAGTTAGTCTTAGGCAATATTTTTTGAGAATTTTATGTCTGCATTTATTAAATAAAATAGACACAAAAACTGTCAAAAATGTACATCATACAACATATTCACATTGCATATGATTCCATGGTCATCTCTGACCAGGTCACTAATATAAACCACAATAACTTCATGAAGTTGTCTGCAAAGTAAAATGCTTGAGTCATGCTCAGGGGCTAATAATAGCAATTATCATTCAGAAAGATAATTACAATTTTTTATATCATATCATTTTTGCACCTGTGCAATGCATGCTGGGTTGATGACGTGGTTTCGGTTTCTTAAAAAGCATTTGTTTGTTTGTTTTTTCTCCATCTTAAATTGATAAAAGATTTGCGAAGAAGCTTTCTCATCAGTATGGATTTTTAAAGGCGCAAATAGGTTTTCTCAAAGGATGAGTTTGTGTGTTTAACAAAATAAACAAATCAAAAGATGCAGAGGAACAAAACAGATAAAAGTAACAGGAATATACATATCTTTTTTTTTCTTTTTCACATTTTGTCACATTACTCTTTGTTACTGTATTTGGACTTAGGTGTTAGACCAAAGCAAAGCAACATAAACTGTGGATGCAAAATAAAAGAAATGGATTTAATTTTAAAAATCTTGTAAATTTTAGCATACATTTATATTCCTCTCTCTTCACTTTGATTCCACATAAAGTTTTGCGTTCAGTGTTCAAAAGTCACCTAATTAGTAAATAGAGCGCAATAAAATATCAGTATAAATCCAACTGTTCTGTGAAGTCCTCAGGTTTGAAAGGCCTCATCAAAAAGCATCATCAGGACAAAAGGAATGCATAAGAGATTTAAAGGTCAGTTATGGAGAGGTTTAAGAATTATCTTATAAACCAACATCCCCAGTTTTAAACATCTCATAGATGTCATTCTTCAATTATCTGAAGATTTAAAGTATATGGTGCCCCTACAAGCCTACAGACAGGCTGAAATTGGAGAGCAATAATCAGAAAAGCTGTCAAGAGGCCCATGAAAAAGCTGAAAGGGCTGCACAGATTCACAGCTCAGATTAGATAATATATCGACTGAACAACTATTATACATAAACTCAACAAATATGACAGTTATTGAAGAGTGGATAGAAGCAGAGTTTATAGTTTGCCACAAATTATTCAGGGGACATAGCAATTGTGTGGTCAGTTGAGAGAAAAAGTGTAGCCTGCAATGTAGTCTCTTCAGCCTGCAAGCAAAACTAAATATGGCAGAAAACTAACACACATCACACTGCTTGAGTACTTGGGGACAGAGTTTGGGAAACACTGGTGAAGGTCAAAGCATATTCATCTGTAAGAATAGCTCAGTCAGAGTCCTAACTCTATCCAGTTTAACTAATCTTAAGATATTTTTGCAAAGAAAAATGAGCATGAATTTAAGTCGGTCATTTTGCAAAGCTGGAAGAGAGATATCTCAAAAGACTTAATAGAAAAACGAGACACTATGTATTATCGATGCATGAAGCCAGTATCCCGGTGTATGCCACATTGCAGATTTTTCCAAAGAAAAATCTTGCTTCATTTTTCTTTAGCTTCACAACAATACTTTGCTTTGGTTTATCGGAAAGAACTGCAATAACATAAATCGAACTTTGTGTATATAACAGAACATTTTGAGTTCAAGGAGTTCAGGCAGTGGAAGGCAGCGTACAAAAGGAAGGAAGAATTAAAAAGGTAAAAGTAAAAAGTTTGTGCACTTCAGGCAGTTCTGCATTCCAGCTGCTCTAACAGCATGAGGTAAAAGGAAACATTATAAACCAGAACATTTGCATACCAATAAACCACACAAGGACCAGTTTCTATTCTTAGAGGACAGTGGGGACTGGGAACAGTGGATTAATGAAAGAAAGACTTAACTTTTAAATAGTTCACAAAATAATGCACAGAGACCAAGTTTCTGTTTTGTCCTTGTTATGGGTCCTATAAGTGTCTTTGTGTCCCATAAGAGATGGATGTTCTCAGCCATAGGCGATCAAAATAGTAAACATTACTAAGAGAGGAAGAAAGGGTAAAGTTTAGAGAGAAAATGTGGTACATTCACAGTATGGATTTATCAGGGTGCCCCCATCCTCCAAGTGAACATTGACTTTAATGACCCAAAGTTATAGCAGTGAAGTGATTATTACGGCTGAACCAGAGTCAGAGCACCTCGGCGTAATGAGGGAGTCCATTATACAATTCACTGGGGTAGCGCTGTGGAAGTTGGCATAAAGCCCCAATTTGTACATAAGAGAATTGTCCATTCATTTAAGTTTAGCGGAGCTTAGTCACAGGCATTAGGGGGCCGGCTGATGGGTTGGCTACATGCCAGAAGCTGCGTTTTACGCGTTACTGCAATTTTCAATGTACAAAATTGCTTTAAGTCCATCTTTGTACATTAAGTTATTAAAGTGACAAAAGCTGGTGACCATTAGTTCATAGAATATCACAACTATGGATACTACAATATGTTGCTAAATAAATTTAATCTTGGCTTTTACAATTTATTTAAGATAACATATTGTGCTAGAGTCCTTGTCTCTAGGAAACCTAAATAAATAACTGCATAAAATGATGTTGTTTTTTTTTTTTTTTTCGGGGGGTGGTTCTTATTTATATATAAGGAAAATCAATCTTTGCTGCTTTTCATGCTAATTAGAATCTTGCCTGAGGAAGATGTTATTATTGTTTTGCTATTTGTACCACAGTGTGGGAGGTTTGCAGCTAGCACCTTTATCCACTTTGCTGCTTTAATTCCTTTCTGAAAAGGATTTAAAAAACTGCAAGCATAGTCACACTATCATAAATAAAAAATAACCCCCATGTTATTTTGTGTTTCCAACCCTTAATGTATTTAATTGTAAATGTCAATGTTGCAGCAGGCATTCATTCTTCATTCTGATATTAATGCCCCATGTAAAAGCTACACATGGTTAGCATGACAAATTCAAGCACTGTGAC